GTAAACTATAGAGTTCAAGCAAAAAACATCAAATTTATAGCCCATATAGAACTCGTCGAGCTGCGTCGAATGGCGTTTGAATGAACTTTCCAGCTATCATAGGTTTTGAGATATTTCAAAAACAATTTGCCAAAACGTCACAGCGTTACGCTTGGACAAGCCGAATTAACAAAATGAATTTAAAATCCTCTTGGTTTTACTACGTTCTCGCATGCATGTTCTTACTGAAATTTTTGTCATTATTCAGTAATAAAAATTATAGTAAAAGATTTTAGTTTTTTCTAATGAAAATATGAAAATGATTTGCCGTTCTCTCTCTCTCTCTCTCTCTCTCTCGTTTCACGATGACTTTCAAAAGAGAATCATGAATAGAATTGGAAAAATATAATAATATTTCATCTTTTTTCAACGAGTATCATAATTTTGCATTCGGAAAAGTATCGAAGGAATTATTTTAGAATGTGCATTGTAAGTTTGATTATTGACTTATAATTGAGGACAAGTAATAAATATTTCACAAACCTTGATCAATCGACAAAGAAAGTAGAACATCAGGAATATCATTTTATTTGTATCTACTTATCCTAGGCTTTGTTTTTAACGAAAATACATTCTGATTAGTGAAAAATATAAAGAGTTAAAGATTTTAATTTTCAGATTGTAACGCAATTTCTTTTAGAATCCTTATATCGAGCAGTCCTTGAGAAATAAATACTATCTAGCCAAAAACTCAAACAACAGGATTTCGCCCTTTCGTTTCGTATAAAAGTCCATGTATAAATATTGCTTTTATTATAAAAAGCGATTAGTAAGTAAAAGAAAAATTAATGATGTTGTTTTTATTACATTTCAAATGGTGAATAGCCTTCAAAATTCTATTCTTTTCGATTTAAAATGAATTGCAATCAGTACAATATGTGTCCTATCAATAATGTTTTGTATATGATTTAGAGGTTATTCCAAACTATGAAAGCTAATAGAAAACGAAAAGTCCCAAAACAATGTTAAAAGAAGTTACTTTGATCAAATAGATTAAGAAAGAGTACTGATAACTCTTATCATAGAAAGAATATTATTGAAATATAGTTACAATACTTCGACAACGAATATAATTATTTACATTATATAGCTTAGATTGTAAATACCTTACTGCACTTAACTATTTTTGTTAGTTTCATCATGTATAATTTGTGATATTCGCTTCATTATCTTAAATTATTGCACGTAAACATATCGTTCTAAATTTATTATTCAAGAATATGTTCGATGCTAATACCTGATAAGTATTAATTTTTAATCAATATCGCAGCAAACAAATAGCCTAAAATCGTTTACAACTGAAAAACGATATAATCTCGTAAACAAGAGTAAGACAATCAAAATCAATGAATAAATTTCAGTTGGAGAATCATTATAATCGAGCGCTTAAATTCTCGAACACGATACTAATGAGATTTCTTCAATACAATACGTAGAACACATTTCGCAATTGATTCTGTCAAAGAATAGAACTGGGTCGTTTAAGAACATCTGTTGCACTATGTAGTAGAATTGTAATGATTTTTATAGAGCAATCAATTTTGAATATACAAAAAAATTAAATTAAATCGAATTTTGGAAAATTTAAATTTTCAAACACAATTGAAAAAGATTAGATTTTTATTTGATGTGGAGCGTATATCATATTTTCAAAATCAGTAAAGAAATCGTTGAGATGTCAATTCATCCTTTGTCCACTTTTCTGAATGCTAGTGATATTATGAATGATGAAATAATACGTTTACAACATCGAAACAATTTGCAGATAAATATTCATTTTTCATGACACATGCAAAAGTCCGTTCGCTAAAACATAATTGCTTATCTTCGATGTTATATCATAAAACTATCGTTTCAATCAAAGCATCTCTTTCCATAAATATCAGGTCAATGTTGAATTATATGATAGGTTTATGTATTAAAAGAACGGTTATACTCAAACGAATTAGACAACATAACGTGGCATATCAAATAAAACAATGTGTTGTTTACAAAGATATTTCAAGTAACTTTGAATATCGTTTTCGAAGACCAGAATGTTCAGCTTCAGCAATACTTTACCTGAATATGAGTTAAATTACATAAAATCGAATATAAATAATTTTGTCAATATATGTAAGAACAATGAAAAAATGGCGAATCGATGAGCATTGAATAACCTGACTTATTCTTTTGCATGCATTTCATTTGAACGGAATAATATTTTTTTGAATTCGGGTGCAATGCGTAGGCGTCGAATATAAATGATTTTCGATGAAGAAAGAATATCATTTTGCACTAATGAAAGAAATAATTACAAATGTACTTTTCAAATTGCTTTATTAAAAAGAAAGTCGAAGGCGAAATATAAATTTTATGTGAATAGAAGAAAAGACATTATCTATTATTCCTTTTTTTTAGTGATTAAATGCAGCTGAGACATATTAATTGTTACATGAGAAAGTATACTTTTTGTTTGGCCTTGATAACGAAAAACAAGCTCGCCTATAAATTGAGCCGCATTTTATCTACATCTATACACACACTCTCTCTCATTTCAATTTCTTTGTCGTTTACAGAAATGCAAACGCCAATCTACATATTGCTTTATGCAATTGCTTTTGTGCAACTGCAGACAGTCTCATTATCTGGTAAGTTTTACATTCAAATCTTTTACAGTAAATCTACGTCGAACAGGTATGTTTTTCGTTTTCAAATAAAAATTTTGAATGTTTACAAGTCACGCATCAATTATCATCTTGACTATACCATTGAATCTATTTGCCCATTCCTTTCGTATCCATGCTATATGCCTGTCATAAGACTAATCTTCTCATCTCCGTCGAGATAGAAAGATTCTTTTGAATAATATCAGTTATTGTTCTCATAGAATGAAAGTAGCCCCTCTAGATTTTATACTACTGAATGGAGCATGTCGGCTTTATTCGATGATAATTGCAAGCAACATAGTAAAGATACTAGGGTCTCGAGTTTGTAGTTGTTAGAAAAATTTGGATATTGGTGAAAATAAACAGAATTATTTTCTGTCATAAAACCAACAGACATCAACTGTGAATTGATATAAATCATTGCCAAAGACTCATAAGTATTGCGTCTCCATCAAAATAATCAATTGCAATTTAAATGGAAGGAAAAACTTATCAATATAGTTGTATTGGAGCTGAAATATGGAGCTCATAGGTATTCTTTACATTCATTGAGCTAATTTTGAATGGCTTAAGTAAAAATTCTTCCTTGAAAGTCTTGGTGGCTTCTGTGATTTATAATGAATTGTCCTTAAGTTTTCTTTTTTTTAGTACTCTCTGATGGATACAAGAAGCAACAGTAGCATAATTATAAGTGTGAGAGAGAGAGAGAGAGAATGTAACAGTAAAAAATTCGCTGTTAAATTATCATGCCTCACAATTTTTGAATATATATGGGTTACATGAATTTCGGCCCACGGAATTTTCGGGCCGGACTTTTGGACCAATTTTATAAAAATTCATTAAACTCGGAGAAAAAATGAATTTTTTTGAAAATTGGTTTCTAGATTTTTTTAGTACCGAGCGAAGTGACGTAGTGCCGAGCGAAGCGGCGTTTTTCATTCCATAGAAGAAAAACTAGTTGAAATAAAAAAACCAAATTTATACCTAATATACATCTCAACAAATTTCGAAAAATATACCAGCAATAGTGAATTCTACATCTAAAATAAAACTAAAAAATGTGCATCCTTAAGCCAATATTGAGATTACACTAGATTCGTTCGTGCTTGTTGTGGATAAACGATATGTATCTTAAAACGCCATACTATGTTCTATAATAATAGAAGTGCTGTTTTTAACACTATATTACTTCGCTCGGCACTACGACGCTTCGCTCGGTACTAAAAATATCTAGAAACCAATTTTCAAAAAAATTCGTTTTTTCTCCGAGTTTAATGAATTTGTATAAAATTGGTCCGAAAGTCCGGAGAATTTTCGGGCCGGGCCGAAATTCCTTTCGTACTTTTCTACTTCAAGTCTGTCGTTTCCCCCTTGCATAGAATACAGAATTATGGGTTGTCATTCTGATTTGAAATCAATCACTCGTATTATTACCGCCTATTGGTCAGACGGAAAAACTGCAGATTTTCATATTTTAATGGGAGAAAATTGTTTTAAAAATAGCTATGAAGTGCTTTTTCGTGAACGAAGACTTTTAGCTAGCATTAGAATCATTTTATCAAATAAACTTCACTTTAACCAATTTATAGCTCAGTGAGAAAAATAATATGTAATATCTGGAATCAATTTCGAAATTCTCATTTGCTTTTAAGAACATTTTGTTTTCGTAGACTTTAACATTGCTAGTGAATGATTTAGCTTATTGATTCAAGATAAACATCGTGAAATTATAATTACAATAAAATTGCTAACAAATAAAATATTTTATCTTACCTCCTTCAAGAATGGTATCGTCTTTTTTTGTATCAGTTTCAAGTTCGGATTCAACTGATTTTAATTTTTTCTTATCAAATTCAGCTAATTGCATAAGTAAAACTTCATCGTGAGATTCATAGACGAAGAGAACCTCATAACCTTTCTGTTTAATAGCTTCATAATAGGGTGAATTTTCGCATAACTCTCGTGATGGTCCGGCTAAATAATAGACATGCTTTTGTTCTGGCATCATGCGTTCAATATATTCGTCAAGGCTAATTAGATTTCCATGTTCTTCACGTGATGAATCAAAACGTAATAATTTAGCAATATCTTCTTTTTCACCTTGATCAGCCGTTCGAACAATGCCTTCTTTGAAAAACAATTTATAATCTTCATAAAATTCTTGATATTTAACTTTATCTTTTTTCGCTTGTTCTTGAAGAAAACGTGTAATACGTTGTGTTAATAATAAACGAATTTTTCTACAATAAACAAAAACAGGAAATTTCGTTTCTAATTTTTTCAACTGATTTATTAACATGATACTAACCGAATGAGATTACTATCTTGTAAAAGTTCACGACTTAAGTTTAGCGGGACATCTTCACTATCAACAACACCTAAAGAGAAACAATAAATGTCAATGATTTACTTCAATGAATGATATTTTCTCTCACTACTCATGAACATAGATAGAAAGCGGGCATATATATATATATATTTATATTATCTTATTTTTTATTAGCAGCGGTCTCATTGCTTTCATCTGTCTTTCTAATATATGATGGCGAAAGAACACAGAGCACCGTTAGCAATCAATAAGCTAGTATATGGATAATATTAATTTGCATGTGCATGACCAACAGGCCAGAAGGAAGCACTCATCAATAGAAAATAAAGTTTACCTTTAACAAATCGAAGCCATCGTGGTAAAAGTTGATTAGCTTTAGCTTGAATTAATACTTTTCGACTATATAGAGCAATACCTACATCAGCTTCTTGAGTTACGTCAAAAATATCTATTAGAACAAAAACAATTTGATTAACAATAACCAAAACGAGCATAATTTTTGTTCCACAAACTTGGTTTATATTGCGGTATATAAATCAATGCTCTCAGATTGATTGGTACATCAATTTTATATTGCAATGTATATCGGGGTTTATCATATTGACCAGTAACAAATCGATAGAATTCTGTATGTTCATCTTCGCTGATAGATTTAGGATCTTCCATCCATAAAGCCTATTGAAAAAGAAAACGATTCAAATAAATACCTAACCATGTCGAACACAAGAGCTTACACGAAGATTATTGACACGAACATCATTGATATAAATCGGTGCCGAGACAAAGTTGCTATATTTTTTTACGATCTCTATTTAAAGAAGAGAAAAAGGTTTGAATTTTTGTTTATGAAAAGTTCGTTTTTCTCACGTTTGATAGTTTCTTCTTTGGCAAATTCAGCACAATCATCGCGTAAATAACATCGAATAGCTGTTCCACGTTCGACCTCATCAACCAGAGGTTCGATTTCATATGAACCCGATCTGGTGAGAAAATTTATTTTCACATCATTCAAATAATTTTTAAACATACCCATCGGATGTCCATCGATAAGCAGGTTCACCTGCTTTGTATGATCGAGTTATAACATCAACAGATTTCGATACCTTGAATATACATATTAAATATAAAATATTCAACAACAGAAGATCGTTTCTTACCATAAATGCTGAATAAAAACCAACACCAAATTGACCGATAATTTTTCCTTCATCGGCAGCATCTTTATCTTTTTTTAATTCTTCAAGAAATAATCTGGAACCTGATCGAGCAATTGTACCTAAATTATCGATTGCTTCACTTTTCGTCATACCAATACCAGTATCCTAAGGACGAAAAAAAACATAAAATGTAGGTAGTAAAGAAATAGTTTAAGATTTCCTGATTTTGGCTTACTTTGATCGTTAATGTATTATTAATATCATCAACTGTAATATAAATTTCACGTTTATCATCAGTTATACTTTGATCACCAGATGCTAATTGCATATAACGTAATTTTTCTAATGCATCATTTGCATTGGAAATTAGTTCACGAATAAATATTTCTTTATCCGAATAGAGAGATTTTGCAACAATATGCAACAGTTGTTGAGTTTCAGCTTGGAATTGATGTTTTTCTGCGCCTATTAAAATAAATAAATTTTATATTCTATAGAAATGGTTGTGGTTTTCAAAATTTACCAGTTGATGATGTCGTACTATCGGGCTTAGCATTTGTAGCTAAATATCGTTGAATAGGTATTGATGTACGACCGACAGGTTTTTGATGAATCAAATGATGATAATTTGATTGATCTACAGATAAAAATTGGAGTGAATTGTACTTAATTTAAAAAATGCAAGCTATCTCCTTACTTGAAACAGTTGGCGAATAATTTTGAAGAATACGAAAAGATGTAGAAAGTACAGTTCGATGTCGAAGAATCGATCGAAGATGCATTGTTTGTTTGTTTTTCTACAAAAAAGAATTCATTCCCTTATACATGAACATATGAAATTGATTCTAGTCGAATAAAAAGAAATTATTGTTACAGATTAGTAAAACAAAAAGAAAACTATAGCATAGACAATGTGAACAACAAAAACAAAACGTAAGTAAAATGGACGGAATTCAAGTTATTTGTCACTGTGTAAAGTCATCTGACTGTTATCTACATTGTCGATGATGAACGGAATCATTCATACGCAGATTCTTGTGGTGAAAATATTTGTAATGTTGATTCGCGCACTTCCAATGCATGTCGTCTTGCTTGTTCATATGCATCTAATAAATAAATGAATAAAATGTTCTGATTGAACTCATAAAGTACACATTTTAAAAAAACTTTAAGGATATTCTATCCGTTGTATCGATGGAAAAGGTTGTTACATGCATACTTCGCTCTTCAAATCCTCGATACAAGCTGAAAATCTCACCCTAAACTCACGTTACTAATCTAAAGAAAACAATACAACTTATGCTTACCAAGAGTTGCATTTATGTTGGACATGAAAGCATCGAATCTATTAAAACAAAATATAGATCATCGTTTTGCAATTGTTTTCATTCAAATAACGTACCCAAAACGAGATTTACTACGACCACGTTGTTTTTTACCATATTCCATAGCAATTTCTCTAATTAAAATAAATGCAATAAGAATAATCTTCAGTTGCGTTTTTATCAAGTAACGTACTCAGATTGAAAAATAACATTAAGTCGAACGTTTAATGTTCCTGTTGTTTCAGTACGAAAACCAAAACGACTCATTGGATTTTTATTCTTAACAGGAAAAAACGGGGAAAATAACTCTTTATTATATTCACTATAGCATACTTTTTCACTTTGAAATTGTCTTGGAATAGCAACATAACTAATATCCTCAAGTTCATTGGATCCACCAATAAAAAATCGTCGAAGTTCATTAAATACTGTATCCCCACGTGGTCGCCAACATGATAATTCTTCATCATAAAACCCTAAATAACACAGAAAATAATTTATTCATGAAGAAATTAAAAATTTCTTTAATTACTAACCAGGAAAACTCGGAATGTCAATATATGTATATCCTTCTGCTCGATGACGACCCCATCCATCTTGTGAAGCGACTTGAAAATAAATTTTTGGCATTGGTGGAAGTTCTGTATAAACAAAAAAGTGACTATTAAAGACAACATGGCTCTATCTAAGTTTTTACCACGATCAGCTGAATCTTTCGATGGTACATACCACAATTCAAATTCGAATGGATGTGAATAATAGACAACATCATCCTTAAAAGAAAATCGTTTACTAATAATCAGAGAAAATAATATTCTTTAAAATAGCAACAGTCACATTTATGAGCATATACTTATGTATACCTTGGATCCTATTTCTAAACTTGATTGGAATCAGAATAGCGAATGTAAGATTTAATACATCAGCATTTTTAGTCTTGATGAAATACACGTTTGTTTCTAATTCTATCAGAGCTAGTTCTTTGGAAATGAAACTCAATAGTTTCTAGATACTACGAGATTTCATAATAGGCTATTACATCAGAACACAATATATGATTGAACAAAACTAAGGTAGCTAGCTAATTGAAGCTAATCACATAAGGAACATTAAGTTCGAAATTCATTCCGGCCAAATGATAACTTGTGACATCGTGAATATATACTGTTTCATACATATTTTCATGAAATTTGAATATAGAAAAAAGAAATTACGATTGTAATGATACGAAAACATCGCTATACTTCAAATGCTTATATCTATTGGACATTCAAATAATGAAATAGAACTCGAAGGTTACAGTTAAGATGGATAGAGGGTTTGTACAGAATTATAATGGTAGATATATGACCAATCCATATGAGTTAATAGTATGCAAATAGAAAGCAAAAGAACGGTGCTTCCACAGATCAGCGACACCCACACTCTTTGAACTATTCTATCAATAAGTGGCTATATATCTGAAAAAAGAACACGTCAGACTATGGTAAACAATCTTGGTATAAAATAGATCAGCAAACTCATTTTTCTAGCTATTATTATTAGCGAGCTTTCTGTTTTTTTTTTAAATGACTACTTTCATACCAATCACATCTGAATATATTTTATTCAATTCTAAACGAAATACATTAACACGTAATAAATTGGATTTCATTGCCAATAAAACTTTCTCTATAAATTCTATTTCTTACATGTTTGCTTGATTCAGTCGCAGTTGCTGTATGTGTGTATCCTGAGAAAACCATTGAAGCTTCAGCTCGCCAACCTAAACAGACTCATTATATATTTATCATTATGGCGAGCAAACGATGGATAGATTTACTTTCAGGTAAATCTAAACAATAATAAACGTAAAGTTCATCATATTCAAAATTTTTTCCACTAACAATTTCTCCATATAGATTTAACCTGAGAGCACCCGGTAGTGGCTAAAAATATCCATATTAACAACAAAATCAGTCATTCAAATTGATTTTTTTGCCTTTTACTTTTTCAAAATAATTTCCAACTAATTGTGCCAGATGTGCCTGTTTTCTTAAACGAACTTCATTTAGTAGTTTTTTTTCTTTGACAAAATCATCTTTATGTATTGCCATTGAACCGTGTTCCAAATAATAATGATAAACTTCATTATTAAGATTTCCTGTTTCAATAATATACGCCATTTTTCCACCGTTAAAATCCGGCTCTATTACAATTGTACCATTTGAATAAACACGTACCATACATAGAACACGTTCATTTGTTGGTTGAGGTAGAAGAACTAGTCCTGCTGTTGCATGGTCAACTCGATCACTTAAATCAGCCATTATATACATTGTTTGATGTGGCAATGCAGCTAAATGATTTGTACGAATATCATCCGGTGTTGGTTTACGATTAATAATATTTGCTTTTGGTAAATAGTCGTCTTCACTAAATTAATATCTCAAGAAATTATCTTGAGATTTTGTTTTGCTAAATTAAACAAACCTTATTCTCAAACGTGATTGACCTCCGCGATGTTTTCCTAAACAAAAAAACTTATTACGGTAATCAATAAAACATAAAATCAAAAATAGAAGTAGCTAATTAGCAAGATGGATTAATCCCAAATTTCAATCTAGAATAATATCGAGAGTAACATTGAAGTTCCCTCTTGATAGGCTTGTATTGCAATCAAATTATAGCTGCGCTACGGTGGCTTTGACCTACAACTTTTTCTATGGATAGCTCTTCAAATTTTCAATCGAAAAGATACCCTTGTTTTGTTAACGTATAGAACCTCGAAAAATTAACTGTTTGTAGTAGACATGGCACGGTGCGATTGATTCTGATCAAAAATTTCACACACACACAAGCCATAACAGAATCAGTATAGCTGATAAGAAAACTTTCCACTTCCTCGATCTCATTAATTATTGGATAGTATTTTTAAGCACATGCACACACAACGATTGTAATCGAAACATAAAAATTATTAATATGAAGAATCTCTATTTCAAACTGAACAATTTAATTCTTAAATTGAAAGTGAATACAAATTAATCTGTTATTATTGCTTCAAGCATGAAAATTTTATCGCTCCTTGGATTAAATATCATTTTCTTGTCTAAACGATTTGATTTTAAAAACTTACGAATATTATTAATTCCTAATGCCAATTGACTTGGCTCTTCATTTGGTGAATCCGTCATAAAATAGTCAAGCTAAATTCAATCAAATTAGTATTATTAAATAAAAATGAAATGTATATTTACATCTTTTGCAAAACAATTTGTATCGCCCTCAATATAAGTAAATACTCGTCCAGGTTGTTTTCGATTCATTCTAAAAACTTAAAATAGAATCCATTGATTGAGAATTTTTCTTTTGTTTTACTTCATCTTTTGAATATCATCATAATATTTTCGTTCTAGTGCTGAACTTTCTGCTCCGACACCTTTTCCATACTGATCAAATTCCAGCTAATAGAACAAGACAAAAAAGAAAGAGCAATGAAATTATGCATAAAGAGAGATTTTCATACACGATTGAATAATTTCTGTTGCCAACCAACAACAACTTCTTCATAATCAGATCTTTTGGATTCATCCAAGGCTTGAGCTAGATCAGTTTTTGAAGCTTTATTTTTGTTTGCATTCTTATCATCTATTTCAAGTAAACGTGATAAATCTTCTTCAATTTTCAATCGGTTAAGACTTGGTAATAGTGCATTTGACGTAAGTCGTTCTAATTTAACTCTAAATCAAAACGAATAGATCTATCTCGAAATCTCGAAATCTCGAAATATATCTTTTTACCGAATTTTAAAATTACTTATTGTATCAGTCGAACGATAAACACCACAGTTAACATCATTCTCATAAAAACCAGCCATGATGATCTCTCTTGATATGATCCAACTATGAAAATTATGCGATGATTAAAACATGGCTTGGTGATGGTAAATATTGGCCTTAGTAATAACATCTGAATGGTTCAACTATTCGTATAGATGTCGTTTTAGTCATTCACTGACATTACAACGATGATTAAACTAAAGATTATTTGTTTTTATACATGTATCGAACGTTAATAAATCGTTTGGTTTGTTCACGAGTTTATCCAAGAGTTAATATTCATTTATCAACTCCAAAACTGGAACAAGCATCGAGTAAACACGTTCAACAGACAAAATCTAGTGATACAAACGACGAAGTAAAATTTGATTATGTTAATAATACAGGTATTATTCAATTGAATAAACCGAAAACATTAAATGCATTATCATTATCTATGATCCATCAGATTTATCCCAAGATGAAAGTATAAATTCTTTTATTTTTCTCGTCATTGTATAAATATCAGATAAAAATAAACTTTTGTTAGGAATGGGAATCAGATGGTAAAACGAAATTAGTTATTATGAAAAGTACAACTTCAAAAGCATTTTGTGCTGGTGGAGATATCAAAGGTGAAAATTATCGTCAATGTTTTTATTTAAAATTTGAAAATTTTATTTTATTTTATTTTAGCACTACTGGCAAGAACATCCGAAGGTGAAAGACTGCGACGAGAATTTTTCAGTGAAGAATATAAATTAAATCATCTTATTGGAAATTATAAATTACCCTACATAGCTATTATAAATGGTATAACTATGGGAGGAGTAAGTTAGTTTAAAGGGAGTCTTATAAGAAATTAGGTTTTGTTTTTAGGGTTGTGGTATATCGGTACATGGACCATTTCGAATAGCAACTGAAACAACAACTATTGCCATGCCTGAGACAGCCATAGGTAAATAATGGTATTAATATGATAGTAAATTATAAATATTATTATTTCTAAAGGTTTATTTCCCGATGTTGGTGGATCACATTTTCTTCCACGTTTACCATCTAATCTTGGAGTGTTTCTTGGTTTAACAGGATATCGCTTACGAGGTATTGATAATGTTCATGCTGGTATTGGAACTCATTTTGTGCCAACAAATAAAGTGACTATTTCGACGTGAATTATCGAATTGATGTTTTATTTTTCGAATTCATTAGTTAGAAGAAATCGAACGAAAACTATTGGAAATACCAAATGTAAATCATGAATCAGTGAAAGCATTTTTGAATCAACATGCCAATGTGGTAAGAATTTAAATAATAGTAAACAGAAAATCGTCAAGTTGTTTTTTATGAGCATTCCTTTTTAAATGTTCTACTTTGAGAAGTTGATGAGAAAAAGAAAGATTTTTCAATTGTCTTTATCGAATTCTCTATCAAATGTAGCCATACACATTTTTTCTTATACTGCACACTGTTTCGTAAGCATTGCATTAATATCTATCGGCTTATTTTTCAAAGTAATAGATAAGATTCATCCGGACTCTCTGTAACGACACTGCAATGAAGCTGAAAAGCTGTTCGTTTTTTTTTTGTTACAACTGTACTGTATTTGAGACTGTAGGATGTTTTGCAAGCCTGTTGTTTTGTTTAGGACTTTTCTCTACGAGTTGAACCTGCATGTAAAGCACTTTTGATATAATCCAGAAAATTATGCTTTCTAGATCTTTGTTTTTCCAGAAACCTTTCGCCCACATCTGTTAATAGCAGTTAGGCAAACATGTCTTCTGGTAGCGTGTTGTTCTAACTGTTATCGTCAAAAAAGAAAGTCGAAAATTCTGTTTATTCCTTTCATTTAAGCATTCGTTTGGAAAAATTCTAAATATTATTCTCTTGTAATTGGAATATTGAACTAAACTTAAAAATAAGAATTTCTTCTGACTAGACCAATGCACATGAAAAATTTAGTTTGGAACGTGAATTATCTTTAATCAATGAATTATTTTCAATCAACACAAAAGATGTTGAAACTATTTTTGAAAAATTAAAATTGAATGGTTCAGATTTTGCTTTAAAACAACTTTCAATTCTTGAAAAAATGGTAATTTTTTAAATTTTTTATACTAACCTTGGGCGAACTTTTTTCCTTGTCTCTTTGTAGAGTCCAACATCGCTCAAATTAACATTTGAACAAATAAAACGTGGTAAAAGTTTAAATTTAAAAGATTGTTTAATCATGGAATATCGTTTGGTTCAAAACGTCATGAATGGTCATGATTTTTTTGAAGGTGTTCGAGCAGGTAAATATTTATTTAGTAAACAAAAAAGAAAATTTTATTCTATTTTAATTAAGTCCTGGTTGATAAAGATAACAAACCTCAATGGAAACCGAATTCATTAAAAAATGTTTCTGATAAAGAAATAGAACAATATTTTGAAAAACCTTCATCCGATGAAGATTTGCAATTAATATGAAAAAAAATTAAAAAACAGCCAAAAAAAAAACTTTATACATGCAAGTGAGACAATATTGAAAAATGCTATGTTTTCGTGTAGTTTTTTTTATTTAAAACTGTTCTATGAATGATGAGGTATGTTGGTATCAAGATTAATCGCTGATAATGGATTACGTTGAAAACATTTTTCATTTTTTATCAATAGATTTGTATCTAATGACGAAGAAACAAAAGAATTTTTCATTGTTAATGTTAAATGATTAAGACATTCGTTCCATTGATCATGAGATAATAGTTCTTGTAATTGTTGAATATAGGCAATAACAAATTCGAGAAATTCTAATTCAGTTAAACATTGATTTTTCGGAATTGTTGGAACGAGGGATGCTAGCTTTTTGAATTCTTCTGCAAGTTCATTATTGCTATCGTCATCATCATTATATAGATTAGGAGACGACATCGTACTGTGTTTAATAATCTATAATATAGAATAATAATAATAATAATAATAATGATAATAATAAAGATGTAGCAATAGGTTGTCGATCATTTTTTTGTATCGTCTACTAGAGTTACAACAACATTCAATGGAATCTTGTCTCTATTCTCTTCTTGTCCAGCTGCCTATCTATTCTATCTGGATGTCTGTCGATTGTCGGAAAAAAAACGAGAAAAGAGAAAACGCATACATATTATATGCTATCTAATCTATCATTATTATTCTTTATTATAAACACGTTTGCTTTTGTATAGAAGATCATCTTACTCTTCAATTGCATTTCAATAGAATGTGACAAAATAGATAGATATAAATTTACTTCAATCGATTTTCATAAAAAAAAAAGCTACGCTATATGGGTTCATTTTTTGTTATCAATCATTTTCTCTTTCAATCTTATATATAACTTCACAAAATGAGTCGAAAATGGACATCTGTTTGTGCACAGGCGCATGACATGAGTTAAAAGTTATCTCATTGCATGGCATATGTTTCTATTTTTGGTTCGAAGAGTTGTCTTTTCCTCCCTTGAGAAACGTGTATTTGGCTTTTCTTTTTTGTTTTGTCTCTGTCAAAAATGAGCAAAAATTAATATATCGAACATGTGACCAGATGGATCGATGAAATTTTTGCAAGCACGTAACCTCACCCGTTATATGATGATTAGAATTGAGTTTTGAACAGCTGTAGTAGATTTTTTTTCCTTAATCTAAGTTATATACACATATGAAAAAGAGAGAGAGAGAGAGACGAGAAAAAGACAGTTGATACGATGCAGACACCATACGCGCGCGCGTGTGCAACTTAACTGTTGCTGTTTTTGCTTCCGACATTGAAAAGATGGGATGTGTGTGTGCGCGCAACTGTGCAACGTATCTATCTTTCTATCTGACATGTGTGTGCCTGTATGGACATTTGTATGGTACTGGTTTATGTTCGAATAAAAAAAAAGAAAAGAAAACGAGCTAACTTACCCAATATCGTTACAAGTGGACTATTGCCGATGCTTGATCGTGATATTATACATTGAAGGAATAGATATATGTAAACAGGATGATTTATCTGCTGTTGCTATCGTTGCTTTTTTCTCTTGCCCTCCTCTCTCTCTCTCTTTTCTTCTGCTATTTGATTGGGACAGATGATGAGCGTTCTCTTTCTCTCTTGTTTCTATCATCACCAGAAGGAGATTTCATGCTCGATTGAAGACCAATTTCTTTTTTGTCTTTCTTCCATCAGGTGTTGCCGGTCTCTTGCTGTTTGTTTATATGAGAATCATCGTGCAAGCATTAACATGTAAATTGCCCATAGTAGACAGCACCTGCAATAGCTTCTTGACATCATTCGACAACAAACGAAGGAGAAGAAAAAAGAAGATAGATAGCTTGAAGAGATAAGAATGACATGCAAGCATTTACATGTATTTTCAAATAGAAAGAAGATACTTACACTTACAATAAATTAATATTGATAAAGAAAACAAGGCAAACCTCAATAACCAAATATCTATTTTCAGATAAAAAAATTTTGTACTATTTTTGCTCTCAAATAAAAATTCTGAATGAGTAAATTGGAAGCTAATTTAATAGCCATTCTACAACGTATTAATGAATTATCTCAATCGAATTCATCACAAGTTCGTTTAATCGCTATATCAAAAACGAAACCAGTTGAAGATATTGTTGAACTTTATCGTGCTGGTCAACGTCATTTTGGAGAAAACTATGTTGATGAATTAGAAAAGAAATCTAATGATAATATAATTCTAACTGAATGTCCAGAAATACGTTGGCATTTTGTTGGACATTTACAAAGCAATAAAATAAATCGTGTATTAACACGTGTACCTAATCTTGATTGCATTCAAACAATTGATTCATTAGAATTAGCTGATCGTTTAAATAATAATCTTATGAAACAGTCAAAAACGTTAAATGTTCTTCTACAAATAAATACAAGCAATGAAGATCAAAAATCTGGTATTGATAGAAAAGATTTTCTATCTTTATACGAACATATTAAATCAAATTGTACACAACTAATATGTCAAGGTTTAATGACAATTGGCTCCATAGACAATGTTAAAATAGACGATGATTCTGATTTTCAAGCTTTAGTTCAATGTCGAAAAGATCTCTGTGAAAAATATGCTCTTCCATTGAATGAAATAGAACTTTCTATGGGAATGTCAAACGATTATGAACGTGCTATTCAAGCAGGAAGTACTATTGTTCGTGTTGGAAGTTTGCTATTCGGTGCTCGATGTTGAGCTCCGTTGAATTTTTTGTTTTTTGGATTATTTATTGAGAAGGAAAAATAAAGTAATTCTTAGTTGTATTTTTTTTTGAATTTCAGATTATTGATGGAATTTAGCGATGCAGATCCAGCGTTTCGAGCTCGATTTTTGGAGCCAAAATTCGAACCGGAATCATTTGTACAATCGATCGGTAAAATTTAAAAACAGCAAAAATCTTATTCATTTTCTGTGTTTATTTCTAGCATCGAAATCGATTGGTAGTACAGATTTAATGAATATGAAAAGACGTATGCATCTAATTGCTAGTGAAGCTAAAAATGAATTGAAACAAAATGTTTATCGAAATCATACAAAATTTATTGAAACAGCAAAAGAGGTTTCATCACTTGAATCAGAAGTTTATCAATTGCATTCATTATTAGCTGATGAAAAACAACTGTTGAATACGGTGAAAGAATTATTAAATGTTGAAAATAAGGTAAGAGAAAAAAATAATTTTTACAAATAGAAGTATTCGAAGAAAAACAAAAACATTGTAAATTCATCGTTTATCTGTCTAGATATTCATGCATAGGGTAAAAGTAAACGCATGATAAAATTACATTCATCTTAGATTTGTTTCAACTTGGTCAGTGAGAAGTGTTGCGCCTCGGCACAATAGAAGAGTTCTAAAAGAAACAAAAAACAGTGAATCTTGTGAAATAAGAACTTCTTGAACGAGTAGATGACGTTTAAGAATTGCAACTAGTTTTCTAGAGATTCAAATTTCTGGATATCGAAAGCTATTACTCTACCTTTGATACAATCTAACTGTTTCATTCACCGAAAAAATATAAATTTGATATCATATAGTAGTTTTATTGTCCTCTTTTTTTTATATTTCAGACAGAATCAGTTGAAGCATCAGATAATGATTTTTGGGAAACACTTTTACATCATTGTCAAAGTTTGGGTCTTGTTGCAGCAAACCCTGAACGTCGTTTAATTCATAGTGGTAAATTACTTGAAGTGAAGTTAGAAAATCTTCCAACAAAAAGTCAAAATAAAGCAAGTACAAATGCTAAACTACCAGCATCATTTGTTACACACCAATGTTATGGTCTTCTTGTTACTGACCATTTTATAATTGCTAAATCATCAAATATTCGTACAGCAACAGCATATGATGTTGATCAAGTTTTAAAATTACACCAAACGTCAACTAATATAAATAATGATCGTAGTACCGATCACCATAAACAAATGCAATCGTCAGCGATACAAATTATAAATGTTAAAGATGATGCAATCCGTAATTCATTTGCAATAAAACATAATCTTGAAACATTAACATTGATGTGTGAAAGTGCTCAAAGTAAAAAACATTGGCTTGAAATGTTTGAAAGTGCACTTTATCCTCGACAAAGACGTGGCTCATTACTTTATACTGATTCAGGACTCATGTCAGCACCGTCAAATAACAACCGATCAAATGTTCAACAACAGCCACAGCAACAGCAAGTTTTTGAAGAAGAATTTTATTCAGAAGATTGGATAACAAATACGCTAGAAAACTTAATTATTTTATTGGCTGAAAGAAATTTTGATGAAGCATTAAATTTAATTCTTCGTGCAAGAAAATATTTTCAAGAATTTGTTGCAAAACATTCTCAACAATCAATGCCATTTGTCGATGAATATATTAAAGGTGTACAAATGAAAGAACAAGAACTATGTAAATTAATTGAAAAAGAAATTCAAAATATTTGTGAACGAGGTTGTTCAACAAATTTATTAAAACATTATTATCACCATATACAAACACTTAAACAACTTGGTTATGTTCCAAAAGCTTGGTAAATGATGAACCAAATTCATAGAGAATACCTTTAGTTTCTTTATTCAGTATTCATTCAGTTAGTTTTACGTTTTAAATCAACGGGCAATGTTGACGTAACTGAGCAATAAATATATGATTGGAAGTTTTCTGAATCTCTTTGTCAGGATGCCAATCTTGAAAAAATAACATTCTATAATTCATTCCTATCATTTATAAGAAGACTACTCAATTTTTTTTATTGATTATTTATCGACGACTTTGTCATCTACTCGAGATTATACATTCCAAATAAGCAAGATCACAATCTTGAGAATATCTTTATTCGGCCTTGATTTCTAACATCTCTATTCATTCATTGATTGTTATCTTCTTTGAAACGAATGTTATAGTATATCCTCGTTTTAAATGAAGTGATACTTGCAAAGAAAAAAAAGAAATGAAAACCAAAACACATCTTACAGTTTCCTTATTTATTTATCTATTTCATTTTAGTGATTTATTCATCACAATTCAATTATCTTTAATGAAAAGTACGCTTAAACAAACCAAATTGGAAGAATTGAATGTTGTTTTTGTTGAAAATTTTGCAAATACATTTTTTACTCGTCTTGTGGATAGTTATTATGAATTTGTTCAAATATTTAAAGATCAAAAATCGACATTTACAAAATTTATCGTATGGATGTCAACTGAAATAGAAAAATTAATAACAATTCTACACAATCAACAATATATTAGTACAAAGAATTTTAATTTTACAATGAAAAATATTGATATATTATTAACTAAAGCAAATGAATTTTCATCGAAATTGATTGATGTTAAATTTATGTTCGAAGAACAACTGGAACAATTGTTAATTCAAATAATAAGTACACAGAAAGATGTTATTATTGATGCACTACGGCAAAGACATCGTGATGAAAAATGGATACCAATTACATTATCAACAAATGAACGTCTTGAACAATTATATTTTGAATTTCAAGAATTAGGTCTTGATAGTCAAACTTTTCTTCAACCATTCATAACAATCAATAACGATGTCATACAAATACATCTGGCACCAAGTACATTACAATTTGCTAAAGCTTATTTAACATTTTCACGGGATCTATTTAAAATTCATTATTCTCTAATTAATCAAACAATTGTTGAAGCTCTTGTAGAATTAATTAAATTACATTTGAAATATTACGAACGTGCCCTACAAAAGTTACAAAATACGAATGAAAAACAATTGAAATATTTTATTATGAAGAATGTCGAATTTTCTCTAAATCATCTTTTTCGTCATATTGATACACTGTATAAACCAAAGATTGGACATTCAGTCAAATATTTCACTAAAGTCTATGAGAAAATGTCGAAACTCAAAGAGATGGCTACTTCGTGAATATAATTATACTTATCCTCCGCTTTTATTCTTATTCTTTTGTATTTATTTAAATAAAGCAATAAATATTCATTCCGTAGTAAAAATATTATTTTTGTTTTCTTCAAAAACTATATCCAACAACTGTTTTACTTGATGTTATTTAATGCTTGTTTTTTGATTGTCCTCCATAACGTTTTCTTTTACATATACTATCTTATTAATAATGCTTTATCATTAATAATAAAGTTTGTTGAACAAAAATAACGGTTTATTAAAACAACAAATTAACTTTGTGAGGCGCAACAAGTATAACAAAAAGAACATAAACGATAGAGCCAGGCCCGACTACCAAAAAACGCAATAAGATAAAGAGCAAAAAAACAAGCGTTTTTAAAAGTTAGCATTTTATACCATGGTAAAGGACCTGTGAGCGACAAAGAGGTATAAAGGCCACATTCGTTTCTCAAAATGTAAAGAACCAAAATGATCATTCTGACCATCCGACACGGCGTCTTATGGCGCCTAAAATGACTAGAAAATACAGACTTTTTCAACCACTATATCGTTTTACGAGCGTACGAAAAACGGTATCATTTTTCTACGATTCATATTGCTGTTATGTTGTTTACGCACGGTTTTCTTGGACATGAAAAATGTACTATTTTGAGTCAATCCCAGGTCGAACAGTCCGGCCTGGAAACAGCTGATCCCGGTTAGTTGCGTTGATTTGGTGGAAGCAGTATTCCGGTTGGAAAATTTTCGGGTTTTTTTCGATGCTTTCCGATCAATTCCTGCCGGAAAGCACCGAAACTTGGCAGGAATCCGCCGGAAAGGTCCGGCCGTATTTTTGACTGGAATACTGCTTTCATATTCCAGCGATTTCCCCTGTTTTCCTGCAGGATATGGTGACTTTCCCGCGTATTTCCTGGAGTATCCTACGGAATCCGATGGCCCCAATGTTCAACATGGGAAAAGGCACAAAGAACAGTTCCATTCTTCCGTCGTTGATATTCTTATCCATTTTGTTTCCTATTATTCACTGCAATATATTAAACACATTTTTCTTCATATTTCTAATTCAGTACATACCTTCTTTCAAATACAAATTGGTCTATACAATCAAGGACATTCGATTCTTATATCTACGCCTGTCTGTTCGACAAGTATCGTTCCGTTTCTCTCTCGCCCATTATCACCTAAAATACCACAATTCTTTAAACTACTATTATTTATTCAAAACGAAAGACAAGGAAACTTTCACTCATCGACTAGTCATTCGCGATTGCTTTGGTACAAATCACTTTCTTCTAATTTGCAAATGTAAATTTTCCATTCTAATTTCCCACTCATAACTCTTACCACCATTGACTTTTCAATCATTTCTTTTCTTGAAATCATAATTTTCTTCCTTCGGAATAATTCACATATATTTTTATTTGTGTCATCTTAGTTTCTTTCTCTTCTTTTTATCTGTTGTTTCTAATCGAAGCTCTGTCATATTTTTACCTATCTCTCATGCACATTATTTCTTCAGCTGATAAGCAATTTTCATTCTTTATTTTATTTCCTTATTTCTCGTACGTTCAAAAACAAACATGTCAGCACTATGCAAACAAACTTCTGATTTCTCCATTCCATCTTCAATTTAACGTCCCAGAGATATGTCTACTTTCTGCGAGGAGAGCCCTGTGACGACACACCATTCTCTATATCGTTATCTAGTGCTGGCCAAGTGTTTAGATTTCTCTTATCCTTCTTGTTCGCGTCAATATACCGCCTCAATACTACTCAACTCTACCTTAATATCTCATCTTCTTTCTGCAGAGAAGAACTTCTTTTGTTATTTTGTGACTTGTTCAAAAAACTAAAAATCTAACAGAATATATCGTTGAGTCTTCACTAAGATTCAACCCTTATTCATATTTTTGTATCGTTTGCTATCAACTTATTGGCGTAACAAGCGGAACTCTCTCAGAATTATAGGCATAATGCAGATAAAATTCCAAACTTTAGTTATCGATAAGTAGCTACTTTTGAATTTTTCGAAGTTTTCATTTATAGAAGAATTCGAACTAGCCAGCTACTGAACCAAAGAGAAAACCTATGCCAACATTCACATCTCCACACAAGTGTTCGGCTTTGATGTGTTTTCTGCATAACTTACACTATCGAAGACTTTCTTCTTTCCATTTAAAACTTGTCGGACTTTAAAATAAAGGAAACACAATAAATAACTGATTTGTCTACTTTGTTTTCTGAGCTTCAATTTGATTCGCTTTTCAACTGATTGTGTGGCTTTTTGTTGAATTATAAATTTTGCCAGTTCTAGTTTCTATAAATAAATAAAATATATAGGAAACACAGTGAAATCGTATCCTCTAAGGGCTTCAAAATTACATATCTCTTACTTAGTCATCAACATGTAAATCGTCGATCAAACTTGTTAAACACCTACTCAGGCCAATCATTCTCACCATCTGATACGGCGCCTTATACCGTGAAGTGACTATATAACAACATAGTTAGGCATTTATTTTAAAGGCATTCTGCCGTAATCTGTCAGGTCGATTTACGAATCGTTTTTTTATTAGAAGACGGTTGTCATTTTCATCAATAGAACTGTGCATGGCAAGTTGATAAGAAGAAGAACTAGCCATGGCACCATCAATGGCAACGAGTATGAACTTTTTATATGGCGGTGTGTGTCCATCTACCCTTCGTGCACGAACGTTAACGATTGTATTTTAGGGGTTTACATGGTCCAGTATTACCGTCGAATATCTTAGTGGCTACGTATACGGACACTGTATACGAGGAGCGTAAACGACCGTGTTTGTTCAATCTGGAGTCTGAAAACGTAATAGAATAGAAATCTTTGATATACCCATTCTTTTTTTTAACAGATCGTGAGAAAATTTTGTGTTCGGGTTTAATGAGCAAAGTTTACTCCTATGAAACATTTCAAGCCGATAGATGTCGTACAGTAGCTATCTATTATCAGACATACGATACAAACAGTTAGAAATGTTTGCCTTGTTCTATCGATAAATAGAACAAAATAAAGAATTATTCAAGGTCGAGCATTACGGTGACCAAAAACGATCGTACACGGCCGAAAACGCTAGCGTATACTATCGTTTCTTACCGTGTCCGACCGTAAATCATCGTAAATTGGCGTTTTAACAGGCACCGTATTACGGCCATATTCCCAGGTGAATGAATTCGATACCGAATCCGATCGAATCAAATAAAATCCGACGAGCCGACAAAGTCCCATGGGATTCCAGGTTGAGGAACTACTAACGGATCCCTAGTGTTGGAATCCGGTGAACGCCCGATCAAATCCAACAACCGAATTCGATAGGAATTTCAGGAGTCGGATCCCAATGAGGCTCCTAAATAAACCTGTCGGGTTTTGACTGGTTCCTGCAAGAATCGATCGGATTCCGACACTAGGGATCCGTGAGTGGATCTGCAACCCGGATTTGCTTAGAATCCTGCAGGAACCGATCGAAATCCGGTTGGATGCAACTATCGGATTGTTCGTCCTAGGTTTTACCGCGCCGTAAACGGCTAGTTACTGCCATAACACGGTCGAAAAATTGAATACCATAGCACCCAGGTTGAACATTCCGACCACCGGATCCCGTAGGATACTCCAGGAAGTATGCGGGAAAGTCACCATATCCTGCAGGAAAACACGGGAAATCACTGGAACATGGAAGCAGTATTCTGGTCAAAAATACGGCCGGACTTTTCCGGCGGATTCCAGCGAAGTTCCGGTGGTTTTCAGCAGGAATTGATCAGAAATCACCGGAAAATTTTCCAACCGGAATACTGCTTCCACAAAATCAACGCAACTAACCGGGATCAGCTGTTTCCAGGCCGAACTGCTCGACCTGAGGTGTGTGTTTTATTATCTCTCTGTTTATTCTTTTAGAAAACAAATGTTTATATACGCACACGAAAACGGAGACAAGAAAATAGAGGGAAACGGAGAGAGAAAGGAAAAGACAAAATAAAAGAGAATAGATAGAATCAAGATATATGTTACATTAGAACACACCGTAACAATCTTCACGTGTATAATATCTACTGATTTGAAATCCATATTAAAATATTGCTTAACTGCAGAAATCATTGCTAAATAATGACTTTTTGCGAAGATTCAAAACATTATTGAAACTTCCATCACAATATAATGGTATATATCAATATGTAACAAATTATTCGTAGCGTTAGAATTCGTTCATTTCGTTTTTTTAACTTTTTCTTTTGAGAAAAGTTTTTCTTATCATAACGTTGACCTCATTCCGATAGAATTGCATAGTATTTTCGCAACCTAAGTGCAGAATGATACTTTGTTTGAAAAAACAAAGTATCATAAAGTTTCCAAAGTATATATTGTTCGATTTAGATTCAGAAAAAGATATTTATAATATATATTTGTTATTATTAAGTTCAAATAAAAAGTATACAAAGAATAGTATCTGATTAAGCTACATAAAAAAAATTGTTTATCTAGTATTTCATCAATAAGTTAGAAACAGAAATAAAACAATAGTCAAACAAAATACGCACTGTAATATTCACCGAAAAGAAGACAATTTTGTATCTACTCAACATATAACCCCGTCAACTCCATATATTTCTTCGCTATGCACGTCTTTATGAATCACTATTGATAAAAAAATTGAGGAGTTCAAAATTTTCATAGAATAGAATGAAAAGTAAAGTATAAATTTTCCTCAGCAGGTATCCGCTTGATACTTTGTTTTTATGAGCAACGTGTAAAACAGAGTATCAAATTGATATCGCAAGTATCATGAATACTTTGTCACAAAGGCTGGTACCTGCTGTTAGAAACGTTGCTTCGGAGAATGGCAGGTTCACATTTATTGAACATCGTGCAGTTCAATGAAACTTTCTAAATAAATAGATGCCGCTCACTATTTATTATCTGAACCCAGATCGATCAAAACGAACCACCGTAAACCGGCGTAACATTACCGTAAACGGTCGTTTTTGCATCGTATTTCGTCGTAAAACGGCCGTTTTAAGGCGAATTAAGGCGTTTTAACAAGGACAGTATTACGGTCATACACGGACATCGTATATCAGCCGTAAAACCTCGTAAAGCCGGCGTAATATTATCGTATTCTATAGAACATACGGCCGTATGACTGCCCCTGTTATACGGGGGAAATACGGCACGTAAAACGGGCCGTATTTATATCGTATACGACCGTTTACTGATCGTTTTCTCCGACCGGGGAATATCCCAGGACAATCATTCCGATCGCCGGAACGGTCATCTTAACAGACCTGAAACGGCTATAAAATGGTATAATAAGGCGTTAATTTTCACCTTATTTCGCCGTAATCCGTCAGCCCGTTTTACGGACCGTTTTTTTTCGCTGGAAAAGAGCCATCGTTTTTAACAGTGTATTCCTCGCTTTCCGAGCTGACGGAAAACGGCGCAGTTTTTCAACGTTTTATACCGTTTTTACGTCTTTTACGGCCATTTATGTACCGTTTTCTTGGACCTGGGATACTAGAAAATTGGAACTGTTCTATCGATAAATAGAACAAAATAAAGAATAATGCAAATATTATTACTGTCTGCTAAACATCAAAACTGCGAGTAAAAATTTTAATTCTTTGTTTAATAAATATAGGAATCTATTTTATCTGAAGAAATTACAGTTATTTACAAAAAGAAAAATAGAAAGAAAGATATTGCTACAAATGCAACACTTGAAAAATTCAGATTCATTGCTCTGATGGTGACGATTGATTTTCTGCGGGTAAACTTATACGTTCAGATCTTACTTCGAATGTGAGATTAACATCATTTGGAGTTTCATTTTCATGATCTGCGTTAGGATCATCAAGAATTGTATAATCTGTCATAAGAGATTCTTTCACGCATTTTTCGTGACAATAGTCACATAAACGATGTTGCGAACTGAAAGGAAATACATAAGGTTTTCTTGTGATTAAAAGAACTGTGAACAAACTTTGAAGTTGAACCTTGATGCCAATGGTTTGCACAATAGTAACAAAATATCTTGTGGCAATGACGACAACGATACTACGAAATACAAAATGTTTTAAATAGAGAATCAATTGAAGAATATTTGCTATCGTACTTTCTTCCAAGTCCATCCAAATAATGTTTCACATTTTGAACAATTGAGAACATCATCTTCATGTATCCATTGTTTTGATTGTTCTTCTCCAAGCTTAACTTCAAATGAATAAATTGAGTTAAACAAATCCGCTTTTTCTCTAAAACATCAAAAATGGAAATAAAACAACTGAAATCAATCATTGATTATTCTGTTACTTGATCGCTTTAATTAATCTGCGTTTCATTTCTTCAAAATCGAGTGTTTTTTCATAAAGTGAAGCTTCAAGTTGTTCTTGAATTCTATTATATTCCAACTAAACGAATAACATTGAACACAAGAATCTTTTTCTTTTTTTTCCAGTTACCTTTTCGTTTTCAAATGATATTCGGTTAGTTTCAAGTAATTTATTTGCCTAAATTCAATTTTTCTATTAATTATAATCAATAAAATTGATTTAGTTTTACTTTTGCAAGTTCATTGTTTAAACATTCGATTCGTTTGTCTTGTTCAATTGAACGAGCTGAACGTTGATCTTGCTAAAATATGTGCGAGCCATTAAATTGTTTTTAGCAATAAAAAACTACGTACAATAGATCTCAACTGTTTGGTTTGTTCGTCGAATTTACGTTGTAATTCATTGAATACTTTATCTTTCGTATCTAATATAGTTTGATGCTTGGCTATTTCACGCTCATATTCTTTCGATTTCTAAAATATAATTTTATTTTTTATTTCAAGAAAAGTATTAGTGAGAAAAAAATCAAATCTATATTTTCATTAACAGAATTTTAATATGGAGAAATAATATTCTGAAAAATAAAAAATAGTTTTCATACCCTAACAAACTAACCGAGCATTTATACTTATTCTATCAGGGCAGAAGTTTGATTGTGACAAGAAAATTCATGTCTTACATTTTCTGTTGTTGTCCGTTGAATAATAAAACTTGAAAGTTGAAAATTGAGGTTATTAACTTCATCTTGTAGTACTTCTTTTTGAAATTTGAGCTTCTCAGTTTCACTCTTGAATATACTCTCATCTACTAGCTTTCTATCATCGATTGTTTGGTTTGATTGATCATGTTTTTCTGTAGAACATTGAGTTTCAACATGGTTTGATGGTATTTTAGTATGATTCAACTGTAATTGTTGTTCCAAATGTTGACAACTATCGAAAGCAAAAAAACTTGATTGAAATGAAAATTCTTCACAAAAAAAAGAATAATCACCGTTCTTTCCAATAACTCAAAGTATTTTCTGGATATTCATCAGCAGATGAAATTGAATGTGCTGAACTTTCATCATAAAATGATGATTCAAAATTCTAAAATAAATTCTATTCATACTTGGCATTTAATATATTTATATTTTACTTGAAATGATGATGCAGCCATAGGCGAAGATGAAATCATAAGATGTGAAGGAAGACTGTCCTGAAATCAACTCTTACTTTTAGAGAAAAAAAATTCATAGACATTTTTATTTCATACCATAGATAAGAAACTTGATATACTACTTGTACGTAATCGTGATGTAGCATCCGAATATAGTTTTGAACGTAAATCCATTGATCTAATAAAGTAAACTTCAATGAATTTAAATAAAAAAAATAAAAACATCACATTACTCTGCTGTCGGCCAACAAACATCAAGTTGATACTGTGCAGTCGAAAGAAGATCAAATTGAACGTCATTTAATTGATAAAGTGCTTGAACAATACGATTCATATATATTGGTTTTGTCCAAAAACAATCATCATTATAGAATTGACTAGAAAAACAGTTTTTTCTTTTTATATTATTTATTCTAAATTAAGTTTACCTCATAAGTTTAGTCATCATAAAACTTTGTTGTATAACATCACCTAAACGATGATTTTGTAAACAAAAACGAAGAAATAAACGACCACGACCAATCGAAGTTTTTACATCCTGAGTATTAAGTACATATAATACTGTGTCGTATAAGCCTTTACTTTCTTTAAGTGCAAGAGCAAGAAAATTCCAATAGTTCCGTTTATTATTCAGTAATGATCTTCGATCTAAAAATGATTGTCTATATCAAAATCATTTAAGTAAACATTTTTTTAATACTTTTTAAATCAATTTGTAACAAATGTTCAAGATGTTGAAAAAATATTTGTAAATGCGTATTTGAATCGTCAATCGGAGTCGATTGAAAATGATCAAGATCATTATTGGTTGTTGTATAATCCGAATAGATTTTATTTGCTTTATCTAATATTATTATTTATATAAGTTTTCTGTAGGCTCTTTTTTTTCTCAAATTTACCTTCAATCACTTCAATTGATCGTGATATAGAAGATAATTTACGATTATCTTGTAGAGACATTTTTAATAAATGACAGCTGAAAAACAGCTCATGTGCTTTTATGTTTACCTATCATATGCTTCGGTCGTTTTCGATTGGTGATTGGGTTTTAGCAATAAGAGGAAGTATGAGGTCACTAGTGATGCGGATGAAGCCAACGCGCGTATACATTAGAACGAAATTGTGCTACCAACTAGTAGATGAAAGTATGTTGCCAAGTGATTGATAACGAAGAAATTATTACAGATAAGCAAAAGAAATGATCGTTCTTCATCATCATCTATTGCCATTATCTAATATCAAATCTTAGCAAGCAAATTTTATTATTCATTAACATATTGACAATAGTCGATACGATCATATTATTAATATACAGATATATCGTGGTATTTTACACTAATTGGCTAGATGAAAATTTAGTCGACGACCGGAAATGTTTCGTTCATTTCTTATTGTTGACAACATCTCAAAACAAGTTTTGCAGCTCTATGATCATTCTTTTCAAACACGTACAATAAACTTATATAATATGAGCTAGCTAAAGCATTTATTGCATACATTAAATAAAATGGTAATGAGAACATACAATAGTTCGTCACAGTTCATTGAGCAGTTATCTTTATCTGTAGCCCTATACTGATTCATTCTTTTTCTTTCGATCGTTATACGCAATATACGAAAAAGAAGATCATGGGAAACTCAAAAAGCACTCGAAAATTTTTGGAACTGAAACACCTTGAAGAAATCACTGGTATAAATCGACAAGAATTTTCCAAGATTCACGAAGAAATGAAACGTAAAAATGGTGACGAAGATGTAGTACTTATTGATCGAAGTGATTGTCGTCATTTTATCAATCGAGTAGGTGTTGGTGCTTATAACCAAAAGCAAGTGGATAGTGCATTCGAAATTTTTCTTCGTGATGGGAAAATGACAAGTGAACAACTTTTTTCTTGTGTAGTCATGTTAAGCGAAACAATGGATGGTGTCGCTAGACTTACTTATGTCGTGGATACGCATAATCCAAAAGGTGCTAATGAAACTATTATTACACGTAAGTACGGACAAAGGATTTTGAAATATGTCGCTGAATTTTATGATATAAAAAAAGCTGCTGAACCTGCACAAGTTTGGACTCAGATTTGCGGTGAAAATGATCCCACACAAGTAACACGAGATGAATTTATTAAATATATTAGCACAACTGCTCCATACAAAGATTTTTTAATTTAAATTAATAGAATTCATATTTTATGCTGTTCGCATAATTTGTTTGCCGAAATAAATATCTTTGACACTTGACATGTGTGAAGAAATTCTTTGATTCTTTTTTTTTGTATTTTTTATCTTGATTCTAATTACATAGAAGCATGACATCTATCATATACTCATATATTGTTCCTAAAAATACCAACAATATTTATTGGTACACTTATCGAACGAATCTTCGAGACTCGAAGTTCGAGTCAAGACACCTAACAAGCTACAACTTTAGAAAGTTCCACCAATTCAGTATATAATTTTTAATAGTTTTCTTTATTGTTTTGTCTTAATATATGGCATCAGGTGATGATGAAAACTACGATGATAATTCATCAGGTTTTTTTGCTGATGACCTTGATCAACATGATACAGAACGTGATTTATATGCGATATTACACATAAATAAAGATGTATGGAATATAGAAAAGCTCTAGATTAACCATTGATTTTCTATGAAATATTTTATGTTTCTAGGCAGATGCTCTAACGATTCAACAAGCTTATCGTCGATTAACTCTTCTTTATCATCCTGATAAACATACAGAACCTCGAAATAAACAATTAGCAATGGATCTATTTATTCGAGTTAAAAAAGCTTATGATATTTTAAATGATCCACAAAAACGAGCTATTTATGATGTTGTTGGTACGAAAGGTTTAAAAGCAGAAGGATGGGAGGTAAATAGAATGTATTGTTATGATTAATATATTATTATTGCTTGTATAGGTTGTAAGTCGAACGAAAACCGCGCGTGAAATTCTCGATGAATATGAACGATTAGCACGAGAACGTGAAGAAAGACGATTCAATCAAATGACGAATCCAAGTGTAAATATAGTAAAATAATAATATTCAATATTGTTGATTGATTTTCTATATAGGGTTCGGTACAAATGTCAGTAAATTTAACGGATATATTTGATCAGATGAATTCAGATGATGAAAATAGGTAATCTCAAATAAAAAAGTGAATGTTTCTATTTTTTATTGAACTTAAATGTTTTTTTTTCATTAGTGATTTTTCCCCGGTTGTTGAAATGACTGAATTTACAGTAGCACAAGGTATTGATATACCATTGACTAGTCAAGATACAGCAACAGTAACAGCTGTAGCAACAACGCGCAACGGACGTGGCACAGGATCTTTAACAACATCGTTTCGTCGTGTTCTTGCTGATCTATCATGGTTTCGTGTATGTTTTTGTTTATTATTCGTTCTTGCTTTTGTTAATTATAAGAAAATTCAGATTGATTTAAGTTTTGGTGAACAAAATCTAGCGGCATTTCGTTATTTTCGTCGTCTAACACAAAAACTGTACGTAGAAAATTTTCATATACAAATCAATTCTCAAGTGATTCTATCGTTAGTTTAGTCAAGCAAGTGCAGCAGCTACATTCAGTCTTGCTGAGGGTGGCTCAGCTATAATAGCACCGAGTTTCCTATTCTCTGTCACTTATCAATTAACTCATCATTTATCAAGTAGTCTTCAATGGACGACAGGTGCTAATTCATGTATGAAAGGTGGCCTTCATTATGATAATCAAACATTAGCTGTATCGAGTGCTATTCAGGTAATTGTATTGAACAATAAATTGAACGATTGATATATTGAATAAATTTCAGCTCGGTTTTGTTAATACATATGGTGCTATCGATGGTGTATATCGATTTCCTAATATCTGCAATCTCCGATGTAGTCTCAAGTATACACGATTGATAGCTTATGTTTGTTTCTTTTAATTTTTCATTCAAGATTATTTGTATTTGGTCCATGGCTTGAATATGGTATTGATCGACAATTAACGAAATATACACATGGTTCTGCAACAGTAGCGGTCAGCTCAAGAATGGGTATATCATTAAGATTAAAGTATGTTGATAGAAGTTCAATCGGCGATAAATTCGTTCTGAGAGGATTAGAAAAGTCAAAATGATGTTTAATGTTGACTAAAAAAAACAACTGGAGTGTCTCTAGTACTTCTTTCGAGTACAGATTAGAAAATTTCATTGATATGATTGGACTATGATTTGTGCAAGTTTGTAGCCGATTATAGAACTTCGAAATTTGTAGTAAACTTCAATCACAGAAGACGAAAAATAAACAACTGCCATAAGAAAGTCTTGTACAGTTCTAGGTTTTTGTGATTCTACTACGAATCAAAAAAATTAATTTTATTTAGATTCACTCGTGGTAGTCAAGCGTTCACATTTCCATTACAAATTTCTCAAGATATTGTACCAAGTGCTATATTCTACGCTACAGTTGCACCAGTTCTTGCTTATCTAGTGTTTGACCGTCTCATTATTCGGCCATTCGCCAGATCTGAACAAGAAAAGTAAATCGATATTTCATTTACAGAATGTTTCAGTTATTTATTATTTCTTTTAGAGAACAAAAGAAACGCGAAGATGAAGCACGTGAAAAACAAGCTGAACGAAGACGAGAAGCAATCAATGCTCAAGAAGTGCTACGATCACTTGTCGATCAGATTAAAGATAGAGAAGGTCTCGAAGGATTAATTATACTAGAAGCACGTTATGGTCAATTAGGATTAACAATAACAAATGAAAATTCAATCAAAATTATTGATGTTACCACACCATTACAAGTACTCGTAAAGGATTCAACATTAAAAATAGCAACAACAGTATCAAAATCAAACTTGACCGGTTTTTACGATCCATGTATAGGTGAAGAAAAGTCTCTGTTTATTAAATATTCACTGCGATCACAGATTCACACCATTCTCTATAAAGATACTGATCCTGTTATCTTACCTGATAGAGGTAATCAAATTTATTTATTCTTATCGATTCAAATTGAATAATTTGTTTGCTTTTTCTTTAGATCATTTAGTAAGATGAAAACTTTCATTCGTCCAAAATTACTTATTCATATAGGTTGAATTATGCTTTCCTTTTCTTTGTTGATTTTTGTTTTCTTTTACAATAAAGACGATGTAGTTACACCTTATTTAATATCTCTAATACAATTCATTCAGGAAATTGTTTTTTGTATTTGTCATCTATGGTAGCAATTTACTTACACTCTAATAGCCTATGATTGAGTGGAAAGACAATATTCTAATACATGATGTTCATTGCGTGAATTATTTAACATTAGAGATTCTTAAAATTGATGAAATATTTCAAAACAATTTAATCATGGTTGGAATCCGGTATAGATAAGAATTTTAGTATCCGGGTCTATAATGGCATGTTTTCACATCCGAACTCGAATAACTATAATCAGCACTGACGCGACAATAGTCAAGATTAAGCAGGGATACCTTACTAGTTTTTGCACCACCTAGGCTTCTAGGGCACAGCAAAACACAGCCGCAATAACGTGCATGCCCAAAAGGTCAATTTACAGCCGTATCCTATATAAAATAGCAGTATGCGTGAAATGTTTTCCTCGTTTACGATGATTTTTATTCATCTTGATAAACTATGATCAACACTGAGAATCTGGCCAAGTCTTTTCTTTTATAACATCGATAGTATCATTAGAAGATGAATAAGAGTTTGCCGAGCACATAATATATATCTAGAATTAAATTTTTATTCTAAACTATTGAATTAACTACTATAACATAATCTACACTGAACATCAGTATGAATGTAGGTTTGTTTACTGTCGTGATTAGTTAAATTTCATCTTACATTGAAACATTCACAAATATGTACAAAAAAACTGAAGAGATTTTACACTTATTCATCTAATTTATATCTTCAGTAGGCGAGTCTCGCATCTCTTATATATACTAATGCTGGCATCCGATTGCACTTTTTTAAAAATATAGGAATCCTTAGAGGATCAAGGTTGCCAAAAATATAGGATTTTCGACAAAAAAATGGCAAAAAGAGAGGACGTTTTATAGACCGTTTCTGTTCAATTGTTTTGGTGTTTTTTAGCTGCTCTGCTTGAAAATCGTCTTGATGAAGCTGTTATAAACAGTTTAACCGTAGCCAAGATCCTTATGTAATTTTTTCTACTGAAATAAGTTGCTAATATTCGAGGATCATTACAAAAGTTTTTCACAAATCGATAAATAACAATAAAGTAGATCATAAGCTTTGAAAAAACAAATACATGAAAAAGACAAATACTATTTCTCATAATTAAAGGAGACGTTTCATATTACGGACATGACTTCCCACAACATCTCAACTTAATTTTATTGTCCTGATAATCAGCATTCATCGCTTATTATTTTCCACAAGTTTATTTTATATTTTATCATAACTCATTTTTTTCTGGTAATAAATACGTGTAAATGAAAATGCATATGTACAGGATGACGTAAAATTTCACGGACTTTCAGAATATGTCGTTACTTTTTTAAAAATATTTTCTTTTGGTACCAATATCCTCAAAATACAGAGTGAAACTTTTTGTTTCCAGGGGTGTATGTATATACACGGCTTTTATATCTAACTAAAACTTCACTAAAAACCCGTAACTATAGTACATGATCACTTTGTGAATGTTTTTTTCTTTTGAACTATTTTGGATTTTATACTTAGTATTACACAATTTCTCAGCCAGCCCACTAAATAGGCGAAAGGAAAAATATTGTTTAAAACAAATGTCACTATAATACAACAATTTGTCCAAAACACGTGATTATATACATTAAAAAATGTTTTTTTCGTCTAAAGACAATACCAAAATTAAGAGGTTTTCGGAAGCTTTCTATACTTTTTTCGATAAAATATAGGAAACTATAGGACAAAAATAAGACTTTTCTGAACATGTAGGTCGAATCGCAGCCCAGGTAAACATAGAAAAAATGATACCAATTTTTCCAAAACGAACTGCATGCTTTCGTTGTTCCTTCTATGCTAAACACACATATATCGATGCAGTCAGATGATGGCGCTATCTTATTGTTGTCTCATATGTATTTCATGGAATGAACATGTAAAAACAAAATACATTGAAATTTATGCAGCACGTTTCCTGCAGACTATTGATTTATTATTAGTTTTATTAGTGCACGTTTGAAAGACTTAAAAACAAAAGCTATAATTTGTCAAAGGAACGTCGGATTTGTATTCTTAGATGAGACCCTTGGTAATGAAGACACTTTGAAGATGTCTGTTGGATAGAGCTCATCGAGTTCTATCTGTCGGTGTCAATTTCAGCTTTTGGTCTTCTCTATGAGCGAATCCTGACCCAAGATATCCTATGTAATGTTCAAGATATATTTCAAATATAAGAAACCTTCCAAGACAATATGAACACACGTCAATCTATTTTATACCTATGTTGTTATTATTTTAAAGTGATGTGCATCCTCTCAGCAGTAGTAAATCATGCAACTTCTACTGTCAATATTTTTACTTCACAGATGTTCGTATGAGAAAATCACACCTTTATAAAAAAAAAACAGCACACTGTTTTTTTTATTGTTTTGAAACCTATAATAAAAATGATCATAAACTTATTTTCTCGTCTTTTTTTAAACAGGAACACACATGTTCATCAATACAGATGGTCAATAATTACACCATATTAATGATAAAATGATCTTTAAAAAACTATCCACCTGCATATCTAAACAATGCTTGAAGGCAATCAAATTCATCTCTATCTAAATAAACATACAGGTGTACTTCTTTTGTTTTTTAAAATTCTCTTCCTATTGACTTATGATTTAAAATAATAACGATGCAATTCAACTTTCGTGCGTGACATAATCATCAAAAAAACATTCGAAAAAGAAAAGAAAAATTTTAACGCATCCTTGTCAAAATCATCATATTTTTAAAACCTGCTGTGTCAATTGCATTGCAGAGAATTTTCGTTTTTGTCTCTATATCCAATTATAACTGCAATTCACGCTTTCAATCATGAAATGAAGAAAGATCATCATTGTATTACATGAACAACAATATGTAATATCTTATGTTGCTCATTCAATTAGAAATGGATAAGATGATAATTTGAATTCATCCCAGATTCTAACGTATACATAAAAGATTGGATCATTTATTTGTATTTTTCCACTGGGATTAACATAGACAAGTTTTCTGTTATCGTTCAGCAGGTGTTCCTGTTATAATATTAGCTGAATTCCATAACTTGAACAAGTTTGTCTTAATGAGAGAGAGAGAGAGAGAGAGAGCGAGAAAAGTCATTCACTATAGACACCACTTGAATGAAGTAATTTTAATCTAAGTAGAAAAACAGGTGATTTACATACGGGGTGCCGCATACATAATCGATAGTTTATTAGTCTCGCATTTAGCTGTAAAAATTTGTTTCCTATGGTTTATATCGATTAATCCACGAGCAGTATTTCTAATAGGATTTCGAAGCACAGTGTACATGTACACCCTACTAAGCCAAAAATTTTATTTTCAGAGTGTACTTCATAGGAAAACAAAGTGTATTCTGAAAAATAGAGTGTACGTACACTTTGTTCTGCTGGAGTACACTAATCATTAAAAACACTGATCCACGAGCTTTTAGTTTTCTTATTGCATACAATGTGTTTCGTATGTTTTGGAAAATTTCTATCTCTTAGAAGAAAAATTGCTATTCAGATCTTGTTTGATACGAACACATCTTTATTCGATTAATGAGGTTTACGTCACATTCGAATGAATGTTGATCAAATCAAAGAGATAATTGTCATCGATCATCATAATATATATTATCCTCTTATAACACATTTTTTCAATATCTTTGAAGTTATTTAAACCTCGAGGAAAAATTTCCGGATAACGATGAAGAACAAAAAAGAAAAACGTTGTTATACTTTGATAAGATATTCTTCTCTCATATCATCATATTTAAAAGAAACAAGTAGCTCGTTCATTTGATCAATCGAACGAACTCATAGTGTGAATTTCAAAAAGAAAAAAAGAATTTTTATCGATAAGATCAAATCGAACTTTTTTTTCTTTTGGAAATTAGCCAGAATATCAATTTAACATCCCTATTGGTTACATGCTAGATTTATAGAGAGAAAAAAGACAAAACAGCAAGCGAGAGAGAAAACATGCATTAGATATTCGTCGTTCGAAAAAAAAGGAGGAAAAAATATATAGAAGAAGAAACGACAACAAATATAGACGAAGTGGTGTGTTCGTACGATTCTTATTGTCTCGACACTAGTGCCTTGATATTCACTATCATCCATCATGTATTCATCGTGTTATATTCAAAATATGATTACATCAATGATTATTGATAAATCTCATTTATCTGTAAGTATTTATAATATACTTTTGAAAACAAAAATGTTCCAAAAAAAACAAACTTTCTTTGTTCATAGAATATTTCAACAACAAAAATCTATTCAAAAGTTGTTGGTGGTCCTGTCTTACAAACAAATCCACAGCCTGTTCCGACAACAACAGACAACAATAGTAAGACAACATCGCAACGATATAAAACTGAATTATGCCGTTCATATCAAGAAACTGGCTTATGCAAATACGGTGAAAAATGTCAATTCGCTCATGGTTATAATGAAGTACGTTCGTTAAATCGACATCCAAAATATAAAACAATATTATGTCGTACCTATCATTGTACTGGTTATTGTAAGAAATTTCAAATAATTATTTGCATTGAAACTTAAACTCATTTGTTTTTTTCTCTCTATAGGTCCATATGGTCCACGATGTCATTTTTTACATGATGAATATTCGGATAATTTACCTGTGAATTCAATATCATCATCATCAATTTCACCATCATCATCATTCGGTAGTGATATTCGTTCGTCAGTATCATCATCACGTTCTATTTCACCAATGGATTCTCCAATAATAAGTTCAGATGATTATTTATTTCTTCCTTCGTTTCTACTAAACAAGTTAGAATAAGACTCTATGATCTAAATGTATATCATTACATTAAAATGAACTGATATTTTCTATTTATATACATATATATATGATGTCCGTTGTATGTATAGCTCATATGTGATTTGTTTCTTGTTATTAATTATTATTATTTTTTGTTTTGTTTTCTTCTTGATTGCTTATCTTCTAAACTGAAATATCCGTACTTATACGTTTAAATAGAAATGCGCATTGTATGTGCTTAAATAAGATGAACTTTCTTCTTTTATATATATATTTTTTCTTTTGTTTGTTATGTTTCACATACATTGCTGTACTGTTTCATGATTTGAAAATTTTCTTTATTTAAGAAAAATACATTCGAAAATATTCTTGAAATGCATCATTAGATTAAATGATTAAAGAGATTTTTTTCGTTTTTCCTTTCTCAGTTTCTTTTTGTATTCTATCAATTGCATGTCATGTCAATGAAGTGGAAACAAAAAATGACTGTTTTACATAATAATGATGGATGGATGAAAACTAATGATATTCTTATTTGATTATACTAAACAATTTGAATATGACTCGCCGAAGGAAAAGATTAGAATATACGAAATATATACAAATGTGATATAATCTATTCATGTATATAATAGAAATACTTGAATACATATATGATGAAAGAATACGATAAAAAAAAGAAGCAACGGAGTCAGTGATTTCCCGTTTCGTTTAAATATTCAACGGGAATGAAGTTTAATTGTCCGAGAATAATTTTTTTTCTTTTTCTTCTAATATGAAGCTGATTAAAAGTAGTTTACCTGTCCTTGGAATCTATTATTTTTCGAAGTAGACATATACAATTATATCTTCTATTGTTCAAAGTTAAGCTTATTGATTGATAATTTTCCAAATCGATAAGATAAAATAAAATAATGGAATTCTTTTTTTTTTGTGAATATCATTGTTATGAATGTATCTGATACGTTTCTCCATCAATAGATATTATAGTCGCCTAGCATAGATGGACAATCGATTCTTACTCTTCATAAAAATTAAAGTTCTATGTTTATGTATAATGATGATATGTGACCTAATAGAAAAAATTTTAATTTACATTTCGAAAAAGGAAATTCTTTCTTTTCTTATTTAACTTGATGATTTGATATGACGTGTTTGTCAATATGTGCGATTTGCTTTTACATAAAATTCTATTTTTCGGATAGAATGTTCTATTCATTGATGCGTTAAGTTGTTTGTAATTTAAACTTGTCAAGTATCATTCTTATGCATCAAACAAACGCAAATGTTTTTTGATTGAGACCGTCTGTTGATAGTAGTCTCTCGACCATAAATAGTCTCTATATACAGTAGCTAGTGTTTGTGTGTATGCGTATGTTATTTCACAACTGTCTGTTTTGTTGTCTTTTGTATCTCTCATCATCTCAAGTTTCATAACATAACAATACACAGGAGAGCGAATATATACGATGTACACTTGAAGAAGAACAAGAGAGAAAGCTTATTCAAGTGTGCGAAAACGAAGAAGCATCACATTTTAATGTGTAAATACATTTGCTAAATTTCTCTGCTCTATTTGTTGGACAAATGATGTTGTCAATGAGAGGAAAAGAAAATGAGCTATTTGTATATGTACGTTTCATTGTTTTTAAATATTTTTCTCATCGCTACGCATCGTCAAACGTCTCATCCGCTTGCCTTTTTTTTCGCACCATGCAAAACATCGTGCTGTGAAGGAAATTTTTTTGGCATTCTATCACGCAGCAGTAAAGTAGATCAAATCAGATGTGTTTGCATTTAACGTAAGATGAATTGTTTTCTCGTCTAGCCCTGCTGTTTTGAGCATTAATTAAATGAACACTTCCTCCCCCCCCCCTTCATGTTTGAAAGCAAGATTAGCTTGAAGTATTGGATATACGTAAGAATCGTTTGCACAATCCTTTATACATAATGTGTTTGATGTTCAAAAAAGAAAAACAACGGCTAATAAATCAATATTAAGGGTGTATCAATATCTTTCGAGATTTCTTATTTTGTTTTTATTTGATTTTCTTCACACCTATCTTTCCGATTGATAGTCATGAAATAAAATAGAGATAAGATTTCATTGTTTTTAATATTTATTAGTCACTGAATTTCTTCAAAATTGCTCATTGTAAATTTTTGATTAGCTATATGTTTGATCTGTTGCATGTATGATGCAGTTTTTAAACGAGCATAAAATTCATGTACATATAAAATTTGTAATGGATTATTGATGCCTCTCGGTCTTATTTTTCTTACATTTGAAATCGCTTTGCATACTCGACAACAATGATCAAGTAATAAAGGATAATGACAAACACGTTCAATAAGGTTTTGTTTACTTTGTTGTTGATTCTCATCCATAATGAGTTCATAGAGAAGTTCAAAACAAACAATTGTCATACCAATTCTTCCCATATCGCCGGCACAATGAATAAATAAACGATTACGATTAAACTGATTGAAATTTAATATAATCGCATATAAAAATTGCATATAATCACTGATTGATTTAGGTATGTACCGAGAATTTATTGGATATATAATATGTTCAATATTTGCTTGTGTCATTTGCATGGAATACGAATATATATTTAAATGATTATCATTTGTCATATTCATGTTTGAAGATTTATTCATTTCATTTAATATTAATATTGTATCAACTTCTATTCGATTTAAATTATTTGTAATAATATTCATATCATAAGTCATGGAGTCAAATGGTAATTTTGATACAAATAAAAAAAATTCTTTTTCATTTGATTTTAATGTAAATTTATCGAACTGACAAATGACATCATTATTTAGTAGTTGGTTATTTTGCTGTTCGACGGGTGGCATATTCTGATAACGATACATTGTTAATAAACTACAAAAAAATGATATAATAATTGTTAGAATTATAAAGCTTAATAAAATACTAAAGAATAAATAAAAAATAAAATTCAAATAGAATATTATAGATGTTGATAATAATAAATATGATATTATTGTTAATGCTAATGATGATGTTAATAAAATAAATAAACATATAGTTGGCACATAGGTTAAACGAAAATGACGTTCAGTCCATATTAGCGCAGATAGAAATAAAAATATTATATTCAATGGTGGTAATATTATTAGAAGTTGACTTTGTTGTTGAGGATGAGTATGAACAATATCAAACGATAGAATTGTTAAAGAAATTGATACAATTGAGCATGTAAATGCAAATATAATACTTGGCGATCGAACAAATAGCATAATAGTATTGATGAGATAGTCAAGCAAAAATGATAAGTCGAGCTAATGGCATTTATAAAGAAAAAATGTCAGAAAAATAATTCTAGTTGGTGAGGAATATTTTATAAGTTGGTTTTCATCAATAGATGTGCCATAATAACTCATCAAAAATTCTCTTAACCGTTTGACAAGTTTGTTGTTTGCTCGATCAAATTCAGCACTCATTTGTAAGCAGTGCTTCACAATGAGCTATTGAATCTATTAGTATTTTTAATGAATTTATTATTTTATGAAAATAAATCTCTTGTTCCTTTTTGAAATCAATCAAATAATATATTTGTATACGAAAATTTGTATTCAATCTTTACTACAAAAACAAATATTCGATCTAATCTATTTATATAGATAAGCATAATACAACAAATCAATCGAGTACTAAATAGTACAGAAAAACTTAATTATACTGCACTCTATATGATAAACGCCTGGAAAAAATATATTGATTAATAACTCTTCCATAAAACTATTTTGAAATACGATCTGAAAGGAGTGTTGACGTATATAGGGTAAAAATTTGAAC